GGAAATAATATTACTCTGAGAGGAAAGATGGTATTTCAGCTGGGTCTGGTCACATGGATAAAAAAAATGGGAGAGAGGTAATAGGGATGCAAGGAATCCTGCGAGCATAGGAGGGCAGGGGGAGCTTGCCAGGGTTTGGAATGTGACTTGTATGTGAGCAGTGAGGATGCGGCAGGAGTGGAAGCTGGAGAGGCTTTTGGAGCCGGCCCAAGGCAGGACTTCCGCGCCAAGCAGAACAGCCTGCTTGTTACCCTGTGATCCTGGGGAGAAATCAAAGAGCTTTGTGGAGGGAAGGAGAGTGATGAGATCTGGCTTGCATCTTCTGCAGCCTACTCAGGTACAAGGTACGAGGCATGGATGGCAGCTTTGAGGCTCCGGCTGACTTATAATCTGACTGGAGTCGGCCACATTGCCCTCATGGTCTCTTCCTGGGTTTCGCCTTGGAAATCCTGCTAAATCTAGAAAGAAGCAACAAATGGAATACAGCAAATGTAAAGCCCCTGGGCCCTGGCTTTACACAGCAGCCCCTGACAGCTTAGCCAGCATGTGCCCAAGTCAAAACCAGACCTTTATATGTAAATATTTGCACCTTCTCCCTGGCCCTGGGATGCTACTGTTGCACACACAGATCCCATTTTCCTAACCAAACCTCTGTCAACACACATCTTGTTTTATGTTTGAGGAAGAGACATGTAATTGCCCGTAAGTGCCCATCCGGAGCTGGTCTTCCTCTCACATTCAGCCATGCCTCTTACTTGGGAAGTGATCTAAGGTGCAGCTGGAGTGACAATGCAGTGAGGGCAGCATTGGCAGTGTGGTCAGCGGGCTCGATCCTTGGGGAGGACACTGCTCTGTAAGGGAGACTCCTGGCATAGGCTATACAACCCCTAGGCTTGTGCTTCAATCCAGCAAGTTTCATGAAGCAACCCTCATGAAATGCCAGGAGTCTTACCTGAAACAGGGAACAATCACACCTTACTGACTGATTGAGGAGAGGGTGAAACAAAATTTTTACTCTTCGAGGGTTGGCCCTGCTTGGAGCTAGCTAGCTGGTAGAACAATGACAAAGAAATGAGTAAGTATGCAATCTTCTAATTCTTACTCTGCTTTTTCCCCTTTCAGAATCCACATCATCCCTGTAGATGTATCTTGAGTATCAGTAAGTGAATAAAAACATCTGCAGGAGAGAGTCTCCGTCTCAAACTGTAGGTATTGCTGAAGTCGGCCTTCTAGTTGGCTAGAGAAGCTTTCAGATGTTCAGGGCTCACAGAGCTGCCTTCTCCCAGGGCAGCAGGTAGGAGGCCACCCTGAAACCACTCCTCTGTACTTCATCTCCCTTGGGAATGGCAGGAGAATCAGCCAGACATTGGAGGTGAGGGTTGGGGCTTCCTAGGGACTTAGGTGGAGCAGGCAGCCCCTTCAGAGCCAGGCTGAGAGCGAAGCAAGGGCCCTGTGTCAAAGGCATTCCCCACCCCGCCTGAAGTCCCACCTAATTAGTTGTTGCTTTTATTATTTTTCATTCTCTTTTTGTTATTTTTTATGCTTTGTGTTATTTGCTAGGGGATTGTTGATTGTGGGCTGATAGCAATCTCTTGAGGGAAGACTCGATTAGATAGCTAGCTAGCTAGCTAGCTAGATAGATAGATAGAGTGACTGCAAGAGTGAGATTGAAGGTGACAGATTGTGAGGGTGGCACAGGATAGAGAAGGCAAGGTGTCAATGTGTGATTAACAGGGTCACTACAAGTTATAGTCGACCTGACACCACGTAAAACAACAGTCATCTAGGAGAGAAGGGAACTTAGGCAGAGGGTATCCTTGGCTGCAATCATTACAGAAGTAGACCAAATTCTCCCAAAGTGGAGAAGAGGGTGTGAGGGAAGATTTTCTAAGAGTGTACACGGGAGGAGTCAGGAATATATGGGCAGAAGTGAGTTTGCAAAGTGGGAGCTGAAAGGAACCAAGAGCTTGAGGGGTCTCAATAGAAAGAAAGAGGGGAGCAGTGAGCCCTGGGACATTGGGAGCAGGTCACAGTGGGAAGCCTCTTCACAGATGTCCCCTCACACCTGTGTTTGTTTCCCTGTTCCTGCTGTTCAGAAATTTCTTCCTGCTCCCTCTTGCAGGAAAGCTCTCCTCAGTCTTCAAGATCCAGCTTAAGTCTTTGTTGTCTACAGCCAGAGACTGGCAAACTTTTTCTGTCAGGGGCCAGACAGTAAATATCATAGGCTCCAAGGGCCACCTGATGCCTGTTGCGACTGGTCACCCCTGTGCTTGTGTGAAATGGCCACAAACGACACACAAACCAGTGAGCACGGCTCTGCTCCAGTGAGACTTTATTTGCAGAAACTGAAATTTGAATTCCATGTACTTTTCACATGTCACGAAATACAATTCTTCCTTTTTAAAAATGTATTTAAACATTCAATGAAAAGCGTCAATATCAATCTTACCTCATGAACTGTCTGCACACAGGTGGCAGTCCACCTGTCTGTCCACCTGCTGTCCCACAGGCTGGAGTGTGACAAACCCTGCTCTAGTCTCTTTCTGCTCAGATGTGCTCTTCAGACCAGCAGCATCAGCCTCACCCAGGAGCTTGTTAGAAATGCAGACTCTCAGGGACCCTACTGACTCCAAACCTGCATTTTAACAAGATCTCCAGATGACTCAGACGTACTTTAAAGTTAAAAAAAAATACTTTTGCTTGAGATTTTACTCCCAGAAATTCACGTAAAATTGATAGAGGCCCGGAAATCAGAATTTCTTAAAGTTCACCAGGTGGTTCTAGTGTGCGGTCAAATCTGAGGACTCATACACAGAAGGATTCTCCAGAGAAAGAGGGATCCTCCTTCTTTTGGTTCCTAAAGGGCCTAGACACTCAAAATATGTTATTATGGATGGTAGCCTGTCATGCTCTGAGCCCCTCTGGGACTAAGATCCTATCTAATCTCAATTTACAAAGGATCTTCCAGGAGTTAATTACTTTCCCTGGAACTTGATCTCCTCCTTAAGTGTTCCAAGGAACCTTTAAGGCAGTAAAAAGATACTCTTCTCTGACGACTCTCCCCTCAACCCGAATCAATCCAGGAAGGCAGCATTCCCTGAGGAGCTGTCCTGACCTCTCATTCCAATCTCAGAGCTTCTTCCCTTCCTGATGCAGAGTCTCCAGGCCAGCACAGGCTCCAGGTATTTCCAAAGACTCTGGTGTCACAGAGGGGAGGAACAGAAGGCACAAACTTCATTTAGCAAACCACACTGAGCCCGAGGGATGCACATACTGCATCCCACAAACAATTCCCTCTCCAGACCACAAGATGATCCTGAGGAAGGCAGCACTTACTGTCTCCTACAGAGTGTCATACACCCACTCCAAGCCCTCTGCCTCATTCCTCTGCCTTGGATGATAGAAGAATCTAGTGTTTTCCTGGAGACGCTTGTGAGAGAGGACACAGAATGAGTTCCAGGCCCTGTAACCCAAAAGGATGCTTCTGACTCTCCTTCTCAAGGCTCAATACAGCATAGCAGCTTCACCCACTTGACCTTCCCACCACACCCATTGTGTACCCCAAGACTTTGAAATCCCAGAACATTGAGCCGGCAACAGGTCTTGGGAAATGAAACCTCTTGACACAAATAGAAAAACTAAAGCCCAGAGAAAATATCTGCTTAGGGTGGTGGTAGACCAAGACCACCATTACCCCACATACCACCCCACTTCTACCCCAATCCTTACAGGTTGCACCCCCTGCTCCAAATATCTCAGGGGAGGATAGAAGAACAGAGCTCTGGATGGGGAAAAAAGTGAGAAGCAGAGAAAAGAGCCCACCGGAGCCAATTTTATGTCAAGTTCACCTGCCTTTGGCTGAGCAGACTGTACAATTTGTTATCTACTGCTCATCCCCCCTCATCTTCATGCCCAGCTGAGACTTTTACAGAGCAGCCAACAGAACAACTGACTCTCTCCCAGCACAGAGAAATTGAAATAGCTACCTTTTACTGTGCAGTCATTGTGCTAAGCATTGTGCGAATCCCTGTAATTCTCTGAGGTAATTATGTCCCCATTTAATGCATTGGCTTCCATGGCTGGTATCTTTCAGAAACAGATCACTGAGCCTTCTTTCCAAGGTACCCTAGGTGGATATTGAACCACTAACCTGTCTGATAAGAGCTGACTGCTTAACCATTTGCACCCAAAGTCTCCCCTGAATCATGTGGGTAAGGATCAGTAAGATTAATCATCAGGACCAAGGCGACTCAGCCAAAAGGTGAGTGGTTAGGGGGAAAAGGACTGCCACTGAGAGGAGTGGAAGCTACAATACATCTCCAAGGTCTCCTACTCATTCCCTGGGTTTCAGACCCAGGACTGTCTGACTCTCTTCCTTTGGAGCTCTTGTACAAGGTTGTCTGCAGCTGTGGCCAGAATTGTCCATTTAGCTGATATATCCCTGTTAGATGAGCTGGAGGATACAGGGTTTCGCACTGAGGAGCTCAGCATCTCTTCTGGCATGCAGACCTCGCCTGGCCCGAGCTCTCTGCCAAGCCACCTGCTATCAGAGGAAATGCATGGATCTGGGATCATCAGACAGAGGATAATAAAATCCTGCTCTCTGAGGCCTTGGACTCAGTCTCCTCATCTGTGAAATGGAGACCACTATCTAGCAGGATCTTGGGGAATGAATGAAAAGGGCTCCACAAGGGTGATAACTAAGTGGTAGCCAGGCTGCAAGATGATCCCTGCTTTATGAACTCCTGGGAGTGCCCTGGCAGCACGCATTTCCCCGGAAGCCAAGCAAACAACAGAATCCTCACCCGCACAGGGGCTCCTGGAACGTGGCAAGGCTCCTTGGCACTGAAACCTGCTTATGAGCCTTTCTGTAATTAGCTCCCAGCTAAAAATACCACCCCCTCCCCTGCACACCTACCTCCTGGCCTGGCAATGAGGTCCGTCTGAGCCACGTTTTGGGGGTGACAGCCAGCCTGTGACAGAACCTATACTACTTGGTTGGGAGCATAGAGCAAGAGGCTTTATTGAAGGAGATACAGACTGGGCACCGGCTCCCATCACCTCCTAATCCTCAGCCTGTTGTTCTTGAGCTTCTCTTCCTCCATACAGGCTTCTGAGCAGTGGGGTATTACCCAGCCTTGTCAGAGGTCCCCAAGAGGGACTTCAGAGTTCTGTACAAGAAAGGGAAGTGGGAACAAAGGAGAGCTAATCCCAGGCAGTTGCTGCCATGCCCACCACACCCCCTCCATCCGTCCACCAGCCCAGTTGCTCTCTGCCTGGGACCTCTAATCACTTGCAGCTCTGCAGCCGGGTCCTATGGTGCTTCTCCTCAGTCAGGAGGGGGATGAAGGTGTCACTGTGGGAGATCTTCAGCCGACTGTTCCACCCAGGCCCTTCCTTCCCTGCAGGCTCTGGGGGAAGATTGTCCAGGTCACTCCGGGAGCCCCCGGGCTTCCCCTCCCCTCCGTTGATGGAGTTGAGCTCCATCAGCTCCAGCTCGTGCTTGGCCGCTGTCTCCAGGACCCGCTGCTTGTTGTAGTACCTGACGAAGTTGTTGATGATGGGGTGGATGGGCAGGGCAATGGCAATGACCCCACACAGGAAGCTGATGGCTGCGTTGAGCTTGCCCAGGGTGGTCTTGGGGTAGATGTCCCCATAGCCAACTGTTGTCATGGTGATGATGGCCCACCAGAAGGACTGGGGGATGCTCTTAAACAAGGTCTCAGGGTGACTTTGCTCCATGGTGTAGCCCAGGGCTGAGAAGACAAAGATACCCACGGCCAAGTACATGAGCAGCAGTCCCAGTTCCTTGAAACTGCGCTTGAGCGCGTAGGTGAGGGTCTGCAGCCCCGAGGAGTGGCGAGCCAGCTTGAAGATGCGGGCGATGCGCATGATCCGCAGGGCCTGCACCGCCTGCTGAACGTTGGTCAGCTCCATCATGCGGGCGCCCAGGTGCGTGAGCGTGAGGCTCACGTAGAAGGGCAGGATGGCCAGCACGTCCACGATGTTCATGAAGGACAGGGCGAAATGCAGTTTATTGGGCGAGGAGAAGAGGCGCAGGAGGTACTCCAGCGTGAACCAGCCGATGCACGCCGTCTCCACGTTCTCCAGGGTCGGGTGCTCCACGCGGTTGCCCTCGGCGTCCAGCACTTGCAGCTCGGGAATGGTGCCCATGCACATGACGACGGAGGAGATGAGGATGAGCAGGAAGGACAGCACGGCCACCACCCGGGCGGGGCACGACGACTCGGGCTTCTCCAGGAACTTCCAGACGCACTTCTGGCAGCGCCGCCAGCGGCCCTCGGCCGCGTCCACCCCCAGGTCGTCCAGGATGAGCTGCACGCGCCGGGCGATCTCCTCCAGCTCCTCGCGCTTCTCACTCAGGTGGCTCTTGCAGCAGTCATCCAGGAACTTGAGGTCCACCTTCCAGAAGTCCATCTCGTTCTTGAAGCAAATAGGGCAGATGCCCTTCTTCATATGGACCTCCCCGAAATAGTACACCTCGATTACACACTTGAACGCGTCCGGGTCTCGGTCAAAATAGAACTCGCGTTTCCCGGGGTCGTAGTCGTCACACAGGGAAAAGATGGTGTCGTAGCCCCCAGCCAAGCAGTTGATTAACTCCGCCAGCCGAGTCTCGGGGTATTGGCTGAGAAGGTCTCCGTACAGCACCTGCCGCACGCCCCCCACATTCACTACGATTTCAATGTCCTCCCCCGGTCTCGAGTCCTGGCTGCCCAGCTCCGGAAGGCTGTGCTCGCCGGGCCCGTCCATCTTCCCAGCTTCTACCCTCGCAGGCTCGGGTTGCGCGCCGGATCCCACAAGTCTGGGACCCTGGGATGAAGCCTCACCGGCCCCCACCTGCCAGGCAGCGGGGCGATCACAGCGGGCAGCAGGCGGAGGAGCGCCCTGGCGGAGGCATGCAACAAGCGGCGGGCTGGCAGGCGGGCATCCGAGGGCTGGAGCGCGCCGGCCGGGAGCACTCTCACCCGCGCCCGCCGGCCCGAGGGCACTCACCCCTGGCTCCGGGGCTGCGCGCTTGGCGGCTTCGGCTCTGCGTCGTGCGGGAGTGCGGCGCCCTCATGGGCTGCAGGCAGCGTCCTCCGGCCCCCAGGTGCTCTGGAAGTGCTGAGCAGCGGGGGTCCCGGAGCTGCGTCGTCCCCGCGTGCGCCCTCCCTCCGTGGGAGCCGCGGGGCCGACACTGTCCGCCGAGGTGTGCAGGGAGCTAACTCGGGCTTGCTGTGCTGAAGCCTTTTCTAAACACAATAGGAATTCCAGCCTGACGTCAGGAGCTTTTCAAACTGTACCCTCTTCTGGTGAAATTCTGCAAGGCACGCCTGGCAGCTGCAGGGGGAATGGGTTAACCCTTAGGCAGACCTGCACAGCTGCTAAGCTAGCAGCCAGCAAGCGGCTGCCCGTCCCTGCCCGGGCCCAATAGGCGGGCATGAGGGTCGCCAAGGGGCCAGCATCCTGGGCTTTGTAGCAGCAGGTCAGTGGGAGGCTGCAAAGTTTCTCACTGCTGTTTAAATGGAGAAATAACAACACTGCTGCCTGTTGCTTGTCAGAAACACGCGCACGCGAGCGTGCGAGCAAGTGTGTGAGTGCACACACACACACACACACACACACACACACACACACACACACGTTTTCAAGAAAGCCCCTTCAGAGTCTGTGCCGAGACCGTAGTGCTCCTCAGATTTTTATATTAACATCTTTTCTTTTCTTTTGCTCCAAGGTTGCCCAGCAGTGCCACTGAACCTGTATCACGGCAACATAAACAAGCACTTTAAGTTCCCTCTCTTCAAAGAAAGCTTTGCCTAAGGTCACGTGGTGAGAGGTTCTTTCTAACCCATGGCACAATACCTGCTCTTTCCTCAACACTGTCTAGATGATTTAAATTCTACTAAAATGCTTGCACTGTTTCTTTCTTTTCAATAAGGCACACCACCACAATAAATAGCTTCCAGGACCCTAGACTGGAGATTTTAAATTGCCATAGCTCTTGCCTCCCTTTCCCCACAAGGACGATGACACCATCATTATCTCTTCCTCATACACATGGTCACATCCTTCTCCTTTTATATATAGCCCTTTGGCAACAGCTGTCTTCCAGCTTGACTTACCTTGAACCATTGCAATGTGTCTTTTAGTTCAGAACATCTCTCTGCTTACAGTTCACCATCATCACTATCAATTAACATGACAAAGTATGGAGCACCTTCTAGTGTGTGAAGGCTGTGCTAAAGAATTTGGACAGCACAGACTGAAGTTTCAGCTGAAGGTCATGACCATTTTTAGACTGTGAAACTGGATCATTGGCAAGTTGTTTTGGTTTTTCTCATGTTCTTTTAATGTTTTGTTGTTAGGTGCCATAAAATCAACTCCAGTTCACAGTGACAAGAGAAAGAAACCCTTTTGATCCTGCAAAATCCTCACAATCTCTGCTGGGCATGAGTCCAATTGTAACAGTCACTAGGTCAATCCTTCTTGTTGAGGGTCTCCCTCTCTTTGATAGATCCTTTACTTTTCTAATCACGATGTCCTTTCCGGGGACTGGTCCTTCCTGATAACATGCCTGCAACACATGAAACGAAGACTCAGCAATTGCTTCTAAGATGCACTCTACTTTGAGTTCATTCAAGACAGACGTGTTTGTTATTTTGACAGTCCATGGTATAATAAATATTTTTTCCAATACCACAAATTAAAGATATCAATTCTTTTTAGGACTTCTGTTTATATTGTCCAGTTTTCACATGCATATGTTGTTGTTGGTGGTGTTATTGTTGTTATGTGCCATCAAGTCATTTGCAACTCATAGCAACCCTACATAGAATAGCCCTGAAACCTGCTTTATCCGGAGTCCACCTTATTGTCTCTGAACACCTACCCTCATTAACCCAGTCACTGAATCAATCCATCTCATCAAAGGTTTTCCTGTCTTGGGCTTTCCTTCCATCCTTCCAAGTACGATGTCTCTCTCCAAGAACTGATCCCTCCTTGGAACATGGTCAAAGAACGTTAGATGAAACCTCAGAATCCTTGCCTCCAGGGAGCAGCCCGGTTTTACCCTCTCCAAGATGAACCTGATTGTTTTCCTGGAAGTCCATGGTATGTATATTCAATACTCTTCTCCAGCACCACAGCTCAAAGGCATCAATTCTGTTTCTATCACCCCTAGTCATTGTCCTGCTTTCTGGTGCATAGCAAGTAATTTTAAAGACTACAGCCTGGATCAGCACACATTAGTCTCCAGATTGACATCATTGTGCTTCAGTGATGGAGAGGTCCCTGACAACAGGCTTTCCCAATGCAATTCATCTTTTGATTTCCTGGCTGCTTGTACCAAGAGTGCTGATTGTGGAGCCAAGCAAACTAAAGCCGTTAACAATGTCAATCTCTTCACCATCTACCGTAATGCTGCCAATCATGCCAGTGGTGAGAATCTTTGTCTTCTTGATGTTGAGCTTCAATCCAAATTGAAGGTTGCAGTTCTTGACCTTCTGCAGCAAGTGCTTCAGGTCCTCCGCAGTGTCAGCAGGTGAAGCAATGGGAAATATCATGGCTTGAGCCAAGTGCACCTTTAAACTGCCATCCTTGATCTTTTAGCACTTTCAAGAGGTCCTTGTCAGAAATTTTGTCCAATGCAACACTTTCAGATTTCTTGACTGCTGTTTCCATGAGTGTTGATTGTGGATCCAACTAAAACGAAAGCATTAACAACTTGTATGGCTATGGCTCCTGCCTCAACTTTTGATGTGCTTAAACAATGTTTTCTCCATTTTATCATGGTATTGCCTTACTGGTCTAGTTGTAAGGATTTTTATTTTCTCTCTATTGAGTGGTCAAGTTTTAGAGTCTCCATCTGACACTTATTTTGACCATTTCTTTCCTGTCTTTGTAATGATCTTTTGCACACTTGATGCCATCCTAAAACTAGTCTAGTATTATTCCTACTGAGGCTATAGTCTTTGATCTTCGTCAAGAAGTTCTTCAAGCTCTCTTTATTTTCAGTGAGCAAAATTGTGTCATCTGCTTATCTTAAATTGCTGATGTGTCTTCTTTCAATCCCAATGTCACATTATTTATCATACTGTATCCTTTTCTTTAATGAGAGAGTGCCCCTGCTTCTCACTTAGCCACATGATTAGATTCCAAAGACTAGGTCATTATGTACCAATTCCACATACCAATCATTAATTTCTTCTTAATCATACGATCATATGATCTACTATGCTAGAGATAAAAAGGAGAGAAAAAAGAGGTCACTTTCACAGTTAAAAAGCCATTTCTAGATCCACCTTGAAATATAATATTGTGAGTGACAGGATAATATCCATACACATACAAGGAAGACCTGTTGATAATACCACTATCATTCAAATTTATGTGCCAACAACCAGAGCCAAAGAGGAGGAGATAGATGATTTCTATCAACTGTTGCAGTCAGAAATTGATCAAATATGCAACCAAGACACATTAATAATTATGGGTGACTGGAATGCAAAAGTTGGGAACCAGGAAGAAGGATCAGTAGTTGGAAAAATATGGACTGGGTGACAGAAATGAGGCTTGGGATAGAATGATAGACTTCTCCACAGTCAATTATTTATTCATAGAAAATATCTTTTATTAAAAAGCATAAAGACAGGCTATACACATGTATTTCATCTGATGAGATGCAAAGGAATCGGATCAATTACATTTGTGGAAGGAATTGTTAAAGTTCAATATCAGCAGTGACAACTAGGCCAGGTGCTGGTTGTGGAACTGACCATCAACTGCTCATATGAAAGTTCTAAATAAAGCTAAAGAGGGTTAAATCATATCCACAGGAATCAAAATTTGATCTTGAGTCTATCTCCCCTGAATTTAAAAACTAACTCAGGAGTAGGTTTGAGGCCTTGAACACTAATGAACAATGACCAGATGAGAGCTGTGGGGAGATATCTAGAATATTGTTCATGAAGAATGCAAAAGGTCATTAAAAAGAAGGAAGAAGAAGAAAAGACCAAATGGATGTCAGAAGAGACTCTGAATATTGTACTGGAGCACAAAGAAGCCAAAACAAAGGGAAGAATTCAAGAAATTAAGGAGCTGAATAGAAGATTTCAAAGGGCAGCATAGGAAGATAAAGTAAAATATTATCATGAAATGCACAAGGAGCTAGAGTTGGAAAATCAAAAGGGCCAAAATCGCTAAGCATTTCTTAAGCTGAAGGAACTAAAGAACAAATTCAAGCAATGAGTTGCAATGCTTAAGGATGCTAAGTGCAGAAAATTAAATGATTCAGGAAGCACTAAAAGAAGATGGAAGGATTATACAGAGTAATTGTACCAAAAAGAATTGGTTGACACAGAGGGATTTCAAGAAATAACATATGATTAAGAGGCAATGGTGATGAAGGAGGAAGTTCAGGATGCTCTGAAACACTTGGCAAAAAAATAGAGCCCCAGGAATTGATGGAATGCCAATTGACATATTTCAACAAACAGATGCTGTCATGGATAGGCTCACCAAGTTGTGCCAAGAAATCTGGAGAACAACTACTTGGCCAACTGACTGGAAGAGATCCATATTTATTCCCATTCCAAAAAAGGGTGAACTGGCAAAGTGTGGAAATTATCGAACAACATCACTAGTATCACACACTAGCAAAATCCTGCTGAAGATTATCCAGAAATGAACGAAACAGTGCATTGATAGAGAACTACCAGAAATACAAGCTGTGTTTAGAAGAGGTCGTAGCACTAGAGACATTAATGTCAATGTCAGATGGATCTTGGCAAAAA